TTTGGATGCTATTTAAAATTTGCTGGAGATTGAAAAATTAACTGTGTGATCAATCTGCAATGCAGATTGATCACAAAATCAGAAGCATGATCTCAAACATCAGAACCCAGCTTTTATTGTTTAAAACTCTCGGGCCCCATTGAATGAAACTACGGTATTATAGTTTATATCATATTTTGTTATTATATTTTGTTTAAACAATATCGGGGGGGGGGGGGTGCTCGCACTTGGGGCCCTGGCGTTCCCCCTTCCTTCCGTCAGCGTCCGAGCGTGACGCCACTGATGTAACAACTGTTAATTGTAGCAACCCCAGAAACGAACGGCGCTTCAGAAAATAGAATACAAGTATACCAATTATTCTCGCAAACTTCATATCCTATCGCGTTGTTTGTGTTTTAAGTTAACTTAATTGTTTTATTGAAGTGTACAGTTTTTTTGAATATTTTAAAATCCTTAAGTTAGTTTTTTTTAAGTTTTGTTTTGTTTTGTTTTTTTTCAATGAAAAATAAATGCGATCGTTAATATTGACCTTGGTACAATGTAAAATTGTAATCATAATGACTACTTATACAGAATTTTACTATATTATAGGCCTAGACTAGGACCAGGCCTCCTACCTAGAGGCCTAGTCCAAGACTTTGTTGCAAATCCCAGCCTACATAAGCCTAACCTATGCCAAGCATAGGGCTCATGATCGTGGTACCCTGACCATTAAAAATTAGCAGACGCACTGGGAAGCGTTGTTCACGGCATTGGACTGCAGCGAAAAATGATTCCCCATCATTAATGGGACAGGCCCACGTCATGCTTGGCTGATTAGTTTTGTTTTACATTTCGCAAGTCTAGTGCCATGCGCAGCAAAAGTCCGTTTCTAGTGTTGTTGTCAAATACATTTCAAACCAGGCTGGTTTTTGATTTACGTTTTGGAATAGAATTTGGAGAGGGCGTTTGATCAAGTCAGACCTACGTTTTGAATTTGAATTACATTTTAAAGAAATTAGAACTACATTTTGAAAAATTTGAACTACGTTTTGAAAAATTAGAACTTCATTTTGGGAAACCAGATCTACATTTTGAGAAATTTACGCCTACGTTTTGATAAATTAGACATTGAATTTTGCAATTACATTTTGATTTTAACATGGACTTTTGCTGCGTATTGCACCCCATAGAAGAGGCCCTCGAAAGAAAAACAATACATAAAAATATATACAATACATTAAGAGTCCAAGTAAGTAAAAGCTTCATTACGGTAAAGTTCAAAAACAATATAATAAATAAAATATTGAATAAATATTGTAACATTCATTAAAAAATACAATAAACTTTAAAATTCATTATAAAATTACAAGGTGATGGTTAAAATCAGAATTTTATTGCTTTTCTCGGAGATATAATTTTAACTTGGTTTTAAAATTAGAATAAGATATATTGCATTTAAAAGGAAGAGTGTTAAGAAAGGAGGTGGCTCTGTAATAAAATAACATTTTAAAATACTGTAATTTAGGTTTAGGGACAAAAAAGAGGCCTACAGTTGTCGAACGAGTATGCATACCCTCGCGAGTAATGGGTTTCAAAAGACAATTGAAGTAATCAGGTGCAGAAACAGTGGCTGCTTTAAAAGCTAGGCAACCAAGTTGAAGAGCAATTCTGCTAGAAACATTCAATAAATTAAGAGTTGAAAGGAGAACAGAAGAACGGGTACGAGGGTAGCAGTTAAGAATTATGCGCAAAGCACGGTTCTGTAAAGGTTGGATGTGAGAAGATATGCTATTACCCTTAGAGCCCCAAAGCGAACAACAGTAGTCGATATGCGGAAGTACAAAAGTATTATATAACAAAAGTTTGGTTTTGGTGTCAATAAATTTGTGAATGCGCCCTAATAATGAGAGTGAATAGCCAAGTTTACTTCGTAGGTGTCTAATATGTGCATGCCATGTTAATGTGTTATCAAAAATGAGGCCTAAATGCTTGTGTGATTTGACTTGTTTGATGTGATGTTGATTAATGTGAATGCTGATAGTTGGTTGACGAGCCAATCTCTGTGCTGTACCAATTAGCATAGTCTCGGTTTTTGTATGATTAAGCAGTAGTTTGTTACAAGAAAGCCAACTTTGTAGATTAATAAGAGACAAGATCAGAAGTAAGTTTATGTTCAATTGTAGGAACATGTGTATCAGCAATATAGAGGATAGTATCATCAGCGTACATGTTAACTGTAGAATAGGAGATGCAAGAAGGAAGGTCGTTAATGAAGACAGTAAATAGTAAGGGCCCCAAGATAGAGCCATAAATAGTAAGGGCCCCCAAGATGATCTCCATTCCAATATAATTATGATATCAATAATAGACCAGATACACTACATAGGTCTACTGTCTGGTTCAGGACTATGGGTTTTTAAAGTTTCGAATGCTCCCCAGAAATTCGCTTCAGTAAAATTCTAAATCTCACACACAGGTTAATTTTATGGCAATCAAATAAAAAAGCAGTAAATGCTGCTTTTAATATTTTACCTTTTCTTAATGTTTAAATATTTTAACATGCTTTTAACTACATTTTAGCATTTTGAATGGTTGTTTTTAGTGCGGTTTGTGTATTTTGATTTTATATTTTAGTAACGGATTTTAGACTAAGTAGAAATAGTACCGATATGCATGTATAATCAACAAAAGTTGTATTACTTGAGTTTGACCAATAAATCAATCTTGAATCTTGACAATTCCTTACGCAAACTAAGAAACTACATCTGACAATCCGGCATCTTCAGAAATCGATTAAATAAGACCTCAAGTTATCAAAAATGCCTGTGCTCCGCTCCCTTGATCCCAGCATGGGTTTCCCCTACACCCCCTCCACCCTCCGAGGCCATTTTGGTCCACTTTCTACAAATTTGCACCCGCCCAATAAATTTCCGGCGTAAGAGTCTTCGACCTTGTCCAATATACAGTACTGTATATCTACTATTGTTATATTGACGGGTAATAAAATATACCGTAAAACCTCAAATAGAAGCCCAATGGGCTTACACTCAATTCTTCTTCTTGGAACCATAATTTAGGCCTACGGCGTCTTTCACAATCCGCAGATTTTACAAGCGATATACAAGGCGCTGGCATCATTATTTCCCTGGTCACTGGATTGGCAGATCCCAGATTTATACGTATTTATTGTATCTTGTGTAGGCATTTACTGTAACGATTTAAAAAAATTAATGATCACAAGTTTACCAAAGGCCAAAGGCCTAATTTTAGAAAATATCTGATCTACATTTTCCTTTTAAATTTTCTAAACTGTGTTCAAGTCTTAAATACAGGCATATGTCCCGTTCCAAAAAACGAAGTAAAGCAAACAAGACCAACACCATCAACATCAACAACACCGGTGCATCAGACAACGAGTATTTGGCCAACTGTCGTCAATCAATCTATCTTTACAAACGAGAAATCAGCAGAATACACCACTCCTATTATAAATCGGTCGAATGAAAACCAATCTAAAAAGGAATCAGGTCTGAACTCCTTAATGGTTGCTGCGTCAATTGCTGGGACCGGGACCACAATCGTAATAATTTTACTAATTTTCCTCCTCGGTCGACGTAGACAGAAAAAAAAAGAACCAAGGTAATATCAGTATACAGTATGATTTTGTAACATCACGTAAACATCTTCATTTTCTTCCACAACTGCTACTACTAATACTACCCTATTACAGTACTGCCGCTACGACTGTCATTGGCGTATCTAGGAGTCTTAAAATGGGGAGGGGGAGACTGATGGGGCGAGAAGTGAAAGTGATGAGGGCCGGGGGAGGGGATTGGGCTTGATGACCGGTACTGCTACTACTACTACTACTAACTATAATGAAATATAGGCCTATTAATAATAAATTATAATTATTTTTGTTATTATGAATTATTATTATCATTATCATTATTATTACATCACGACTCATGTAATACAGAGGATTTACCAACTAATATTTTAGATTTTTATTTAGGCCTATGCTAGATATCACATTGTGTTTATTTGTATCTTAGATATTTACTTGGTCCGAATCAGCATTTACCGTCTACAAACCTATCAATCAAGAACGGGCAACATGATGGAGGTACGTACACTATTAAATAGAATTTTTTGAAATCGCAACATAGGCCTATAATGTAAAAAGGCATAGGCTCCAGCATAATTTAGGCCTATATTAGCTATTTTTTCTACGTTTTCAGTTTCTATCCTGCACATGCGCTGATAAAAATTATGAATATTTTATAATGCGCTTTACAAGTGACCATTGGCAATTAAGCGAAAGTAAGTTAGTGAATTGTGAAGAATAATTAATAATTTTAATTAAATTAACAATTATATGCGATTTTAAATAAATGCTGAAATATCAAAACTTTACGGTTGATGAGAATTATATTCAACAGCTTCAACAACGCAGTCGGTGAAATCCACTGTAACCTTTGTGTTTACGTTAAATAACATAGGCGGATTTCGGGGGGTAGTGAGGAGGTGGGGCGGGGAAGTTGGAGTTGGGTTCAGTTTATATGGCTACCCAGATTAGAGTATGATAATCCTCTGAAAGGTCATAAACCATAGCTACCATGTAAATCAACATTTCTTTTTATTATTGACTTAAATAAAGGTACCGTCTCCTACTCTGATGGTGTTGTTGTCTGTGAGAACCATCAAGGTCAGGGCGAGTCTTACAGCATGCTTGATGCAACAAACATGCATTCACCGTCTAGAACGTTAGTTGTTAATGATGTATATGCAACGCCATATAGTGACGCAGTGGCAAATTATGGAATGCAAGATCAAGGACATGATATACCCAATGCCGCAGACATGGATTCAAGCGCAGAAAATGAAAACGGATTAGGTGGTGATGTGTATGCCGTACCAGATAAGAAGTCAAAAGGACGTAAAGAACAAGAAGTAGACGAAGCCTATGATACACCTGATGCCAGTGACATGCAACCAGCGTCGGAACAGCATGGAAAGTCTGTTGACGTTTTAAACGATACATTATATGTAAATGCAACCAATAGTGCTCTTGAAGAAGCTGCTTATGATTCAATCAACGCTAATGACAAACATTCAGGCAAACAAAAACTCGATGGCGCATACGATGTTCCTTCTAATAGAGACCCAAGTAGGCCTACAGGGGATCGTCAGCAAGTTCATGATAGCACTTATAATGTGCTAAATGGAGCAAAACTTCATTCAAAGCCTGGAAAATACAAGTCAGACAACGAATATGGTAGGCTTAATACTGCACATCATATGCCACCAAAAGACGACGTTTATTCGTATGTGGAGACTTCGATAGGCTGCCGCGGAATTGTGTCGCCAGGTGAAGATAATGCTTATGACAAACTTCAGCGCAATACAGAACTTGGTGACGCTTTGACAAATGACAATTATTATAATTCACTTCAGTAGACCCTTCACTAACATTCGAATCTACAGTATGTTGTACTTAAAGAAAATACTAATTATAAAATAAATAGCAGATAAAATTGGTACAGCACTATAGTCACTTAGTGCAGCCTTGCATACTATAAGCCTACTAGTTTGTGCCATATAGTGAAGAATTCGAATCTACAAATATGCCTATTACTGTACCATAGAGCAAAGAACTTTGTTCTATGGCTGTACTTAATGAAAATACTAATTATTATAAATAAAATAGCAGTACAAACATGGTACAGCATAGTGTTGCATACTATACTAGTTGGTGCAGTGTGTACATCTTAAACAAACAAAAAAATATCTGTATGTGTGTGTGTTAACTTTAATTAGGCCTATACATTTATCCATATATTGTACTTATTTATACCGCCATTAATTGCGGGGGTGGGGGATAGGCTTATACAAAGTGAGCTATTCAGAATTCAAAAAAAAAAAATTGTCAAAATATTTTTTAAAAGAAAAGAAATTTATATTCAAATTTAGGTCTGAGAGTGCCATCTCCGGCCATCTAGAGGTGCCATAAGCATAAATTTTCTTAAATTGAGGTGGTATCTCTTGCATCTGTGAAAGTCCATCTCTTCTTCTTCGCTTAGAACCATAATAGGCCTATATAGCGTCTTTCACAATCCGCAGATTTTACAAGCGATATACAAGGCGCTGGCATAATTATTTCCCTGGTCCACTGGATTGGCAAATCCGCACATTGTCATTGCTGCTTGAACGCGCACGACCCATACATACATTCAGTAACAAATGGAAAATAAATTTTAATATTCAGAAATGTGTCTTAAGTAACCTGAATGAGTTGGACGAGGTCAGGCCTTTTATATATTTATTTATCAAAATATTGTCATCCAACAGCATGAAACTAAATACAATTTCAGATGAATTCAACATAAGAAAAAATAGGAAAACAAGAAAAAAAGAGATTAAACAATAACCAGGAAGTACAAGACTACTATTGAACCAGAGTCAACATTAACATTATTTCCTTCTACAATGGGCCTAACCACTCCGAGTATCAATAGCTTTATTCAATTGTTTGTACTGCAGAGATATTCTTAAAAACGAAAGTCAAAAATCCCCTGAAAAACCACAACTGAGTACATGCCGTTAAACATTTGAAGGAGACATCAGAAATTACTTGCAAATTTGTCTATAATCATTAAAGGAGCAGTGACGGATCCAGAAATTTTAAATAGAGGGGCTCAGGGGAGGGATTCAGAGATGGTAGATCTATTCCACCTCAGCCCCACCATGATAGCAGAGGCTGAAGTAAGAACATTTATGATTAAGGCACCTCAGACAATATGAATATAATATATATTTTAAATGGAGGGGGGCCGACCTGTCCCTACCAGCTTGAATCCACCACTGAGGGGTGATCCAAGGCAACAGAAAACCTTCCCCTCTGCAACCCCATCACTCTTCAATAAAATGATTGTTGTCATTTGCAGATAACTTTTTGTAATTTTTACAAAAGAGCACATAATACACGTTGCCTCCTCCATCCCCTTAACACGGTTTGTGCTTTTGTGAAAATTAAGAAAACGGATGAACCTTAAGAATACATTTCCTGTTTGTTTCAATGGAATTGTATACTATCCTTGCTAGCCTGCATTAGCTAGAAAGATATATAGAAAGGTTTCTATTACGTAAAAATGTGAAGACACATTGCGTCAACTGAACTGGTAGTAGCTAGGCCTACTCGGTGTGCGCTGAGCCATGGCGATACTTACATTAAACCCTGGCCTTCGAATCAATCGCTTTCCTGGTCTCACTGTGTTTCAGGTTGGGGGTTAAAATAAACGTTACAATGAAATTGTGCAACGTCTTTGGATAAGATATTTAAGCCGTTGGTCCTGTGAACAATACCTTACTCGAGCGAATAAGCGCCCGGGCGCTTAAAATATTTTTTTGCACTTTCAAACGGGGCGCTTATGAAAACAGATTGGAAATTGAGAGGCGCTTATAGAAATAGATGAAAATCGAGGTGTTCTTATGGCAACTTATGAAATTCAAGAGGCACCTTTTGAATTAAAAAAAGATTATAGGCCTACAAGGACATTTCGAATGGGGGTGCGGCGGGAAAGATAATCGTCCAGAGAACATGGCTCATGACAAGAATGCTGTGAATATTTACATAACAGCAGAATAGCAGATGCAATTTGCGGTGGGTAGTGGTTAGTTTGTTGGCCATCGGCCGATTGAGGTAAGCAGGATAGCAGGATCATTGCAGGTTTTCTTGAAAACTCAGAGGAGTAGGACTAGGACTAGACAAATATGTAAGAGGAAAGTTGGAAATATACTGTCTGTTAGGGATCGGAGCTCTCATCTGTCATATCCTCATTTTGATATTGACCTAAGAAGAATGTGATTCCACTCTGCAGCTCAAATCATGCCAACAACCAGTCCCAGGATTGATTGGATTATTGACTTGCTAAAAAGAAAATCTTATATTATTGAGGGGCGCTTATTCAAACGGGGCGCTTATTCGCGCGAGTACGGTATGTGGAATATGTAGAAATGTAATTGTTTTCTGATGTACTGTCCGGTTCGCTACCAAACTCTACTAAAAATCTTTATATTTTTGTTGGTTCTCCTAAAACTAATTTATTGAAAGATGTTGTTATAGATACAGTAGTTGTTGATTTTATAAATATCAGTCATCCATTTTCTTTGTTCTGAACAGAACCAAAATGTATTTGTATCAATACACAAAAGAACTACGTACAGACAGAAATTGATACTTCCAAATACAACAGAAAATGTAGTAAGTTGTAATAAGAGATTTATATTTTGCACAACCATAAACATCAAAAAGATAATCTTACTGAATAAGGTTCAATGCAACTTAAAATATATATTGTAAATAAATATGGAATACAATTTTAAGAGATATTTTGTTGGCAGGCAGATTGCTAAGTACTTACCGGCATATAATATAACATAACCACACTGTATGTGCTTTGTTTAAAAAATAAAAAAAAACACACAAACTTGATAAATAAAATTTGATATCTGAATTGTGTATTTTGTATATTTAATCATTAGTTTTCATTTGAAAAATATGAGAAAATATTAACATTGACAATTAACAGAGGCATAAATTATACTATTTTGTATACTCTTTGCATATGCAGTGACTTAATAAAGCATGAATAAAGAATTTGTATGTCATCAAAAACCGAATTTAGCAGATAAGATTCTTACTAAAGTAGGTGCTTAGGCTACTTAACTTAATGTGATTTTTATTTTTAGATTTAATTTCCAAGATGCTACCACAGCGGTATCTCTTTTAAATCAACCATGTTACTGTATATAGTATTGTAATAGCTATGATCTCTGACCACAGTTCTATACTCTTGGCCGTCACTGGCTGAAGTCAGGGCCCAGAATAATTATCATTTTTTGTTATTGTGCCCGAATCAGCCTAGCGGGACTATTCAAAGAACAGAACCTGAAATCTGTCCTTGAAACGTTTAACAACGTTGAAGCAAGGTGTTTGCCACATACCACACTGGGTTATCTACAGGGACACAGCCCCCAGGTAGTAGGGTAGCAAGGTACTCCGAGTCTCGTTGTTATAACACTGACTGTAAACACACAATTAATTCTACAAAAATTTATCATTTGTCCAATTTTGAATGCAACGTTTTCACGTGATTTACAGATTCCAATTGACTGATACTGATAATTCTTTATTAGTCATAAAACGTACATTTAAGAAAAAATTGCTTTCCTTGGAAGGAAATCAAACATTGTAGCAACATTAAAACAATAAAATAAACACAATAAAACAATACAATAACTATAGGATAGATACTCATTGCATATACAGTATTCATTTTAAGAAAAACAATTTAAACTGTACATAAAGGTCAGTGTTTTATTTAGGTAGGGTACAAAATTTATCAAATTTGTTCTATCACTACAAAAATATGTATAATAGATAGGAATTAATGATAGGTCATTGTTTGACACGGAACTATCCAATCATGGAGGATGTTCAGGAAGTAAATACTGATAGTTCATCAAAGGTATATATTTTTCAAGGTAATTCCTGTCTCTTATA